CCCAATTTATATTGTGAAAAATATATATTTTTAAATATATGAATATGAAATATTATAAAAAAAACATTGGAAAATATTTACTTTCTTTAAAGTTGACACTTTGCCATAAAGTTGAAGTCTTTTTTGTATTTTGCTGGTCAATATACTGTAAGAAAATAATTTTTGATTAACATGATTTCTGGCCAGTGTTCTGAAAGCAGAATGAAACCCCCATAATGTAAAATTCTTAAAATGTCATTAATTATAATGCTACCACTACTAATTATTATTATTATTACATTTTTATTATTTTTCAGATACCCACAGACGCCATTTTTAAAACTCTTACCATAAGCCACAAAGCATTCATCTCAATGAACTTTAGGTAAATAAAAATATGAAAATGGAAGTCTTTGGCAGGATATCAAACTCTACAACCCTGGACTAAATTAAACAATTCAGAGAGTTTCAAAGCTAAAACCATATGATACACTCATGAAACTCATGTATCTCCTTCATCCTCTCGTTGTTTTTCATTTTTCTCTCTCTTTCATTCATTCTGTTCATCTGTTGTTGCTCTGTACTCATCCTCTTCAGTGCTAATGGCTCTGTGACAGGGCCATCTGTTCACACACACACACACACACACACGCTGGACTGTGATGCTAAATGGCACAAGTGTCCTGGTATCTGATAATCAAAACAAATTTAAATAGAGTGTGTAAATGTGTTAGCACAAGCCAAATTAGATTATTCTATAACATTACACTGCATGGTTACACTGGAGCGATGGACTGCGTGAATAAACTAGAGCACAAGACGGCACTAAACTACATCAAATGCAGACTATGCACCACTGAACTACATTTAATACAGTGCAACAACACCATAGCATAAAGTTCAGCATAAACTGCAGTATTAATTAAGCAATAAGACCACAGGATTAAACTCCAGCTCTGGAGATCACTGGATCACAGCAGTGGAGATTGTTGGCAGTATCTGAAGGAATTTGACCACCGGAGTCGTATTAGCTCAGCAAGTCCTATAGGACCAGATTAGAGCATCAGAATCTACAAACCCTCACACACTAAACTATTTTCTGCATGCCAGTGGCACATTTTGGGGAAACATCAAGGAATCTGGGTACAGACTCAAGTACTTAAAGATGAGTGAAGGGAAGCTTCATCTGTGCCAGCAGCAGACTTGCCTATAAACCTGTAGATGTGACTCAGATAGGGGCTGTTTATTTTAGACTTGCCATTTTAAGCCTCTTGTGCTGTTAATATTTCATGTCTGTCACTGAATCAACAACATTCTCAGCATGGATTTTCCTAAAAAAAAAATTGTTCATGTAATTTAGTTGAACATATGACAGCCCCAGAAACACTCATAAATAAGAATTTAGACCAAATGTGACTTTTTCAAAAGTCAAGCTTCATTTCATTCAGTTTTCTGCAAATTTATACTTGTTCCTCCAGCATTGCTGAGGACTGGATCTCCAGAGACATGATTAAACTTAGTAAATTGAATCATGAAAAAAAATTATATAATAATGTGAACAGAGAAATAAGAGGAAATACAGTATATAAGAAACAGACTGAAAATTGAATAAGATTTATTATTATTATTATTACCAACTTTTTCTATCATAAAAAGCGACTTCTAATGTTTTTTTACTGAGCTGATATTTTCTATTCCCAAACCTTACATTTAACCCTCGCATAAATCTGTTCTGCATTTGAACATTTTCATGAAGACATTATTTATTAAGCCGTTTTCCTTGTGAGGACTGTTGGTTTGTCCCTGTAATATCAGATTTTACTATCCTTATGGAGTCATTTGGTCCTCACAATGTAGGAAAAACCAGAACCAACCAGCCCACATGAAATACTGCATGACCTCAAAGAAAACAACAACATTTTCTTAGACTATAGCAGTACTAGATTTAGTACTACTATTAATGAATAATATCAACAAACATTTTACTTTGATGGGGAATGTTTGTATCTTGTGGAATCTGGAACAGCAGAATGACAGAGGGGTCAGTTAAATGTTACCATCATGCCAACTGAATTATTAAGACCTGCTAGATTTAGCTGCACAGCATTTAGCTCCTGAAAGATCTTGGTATCCTCTCACATTATTATGCTAGAAGGGCTCTATGAGTGGACAGAAAGATTTCTCCTCAATATTACCTTATCCTTCTTGTCAGTGGCATACACCCAATTCACATATTGGCTTGTCTCTGCTGTTCTGAACACCACAAGGCTCTCGTGCCTCTAGAGGGATCGACTCTTCTGTGAGCATGTTAAGAGCTAACTGCAGGTCACAAACATTCACTGTCACTTTGCAATTTGGGGCTGAAACCTTCCATTTCTTCTACACTTGAAAAATGAATGTCCTTCCAGCCATTGCTATAGGCTGCAGAGTACTGTATGTGACAAACTCTCTCTCTCTCTCTCTCTCTCTCTCTCTCTCTCACTCACACACACACACACACACACACACACAGTATTGTGTGTGCTGGGAGATTACTATTAATGCATTATAATTTAGCCGAACTGCATTAAAGCCGCAACCAGTGTTTTGGTGCAAATTTCTATTCGGAAAACTATGAAGACAACATTTCCAATCTCTATCCAGTCTTTCCTCCATTATTGTTCATCTGCCTGGCTGATATGAAAATAATGAAGAATGATGTGTTTTTATCAGTGAACAGTTATGTAGGTCACCAATGTTAAACTTCAGAATAGTGGGAGACGCACCTACACAATTCAGCCAGATAAAGCATGATTAATATGCATTCATCTGCCTATTTTTGTTACTATGTGTGTGATAATGCTAATTTTTAATGTACAGATGTTTTTGATTAAGCTGCTATCCTCTACCACTTGTAATTTTATGCTGATTTATTCCATAATATTTGCATTTTTATTAGCGATGTGCGTATGAATTAGCGATGTGCGTTTACAAACAACACACCCTAGCTATGTTTAGTTTTCAAAATGGACTGGTGTTTTTAAATGAAACGGTTAAGTGAATGATTCAAAGACTCACTCATAATGATGAGCATTTTGACTCACTCTTTTTCACAAACACTCAAAAAAAATAAAGGTTCTTTATTGGCATTAATGGTTATCTGAACCTTTAACATTCACTGAACCTTTCCATTCTGCAAAAAGTTCTTTAAAGTGGAAAAAAGGTTCTTTAGATTTTTTAAATCTTCAAATAAATAGTTCTTCTATGTAATCACTACGAAAACCCCATTTTGAACCCCACTTTATTTATAAGATTGAATGTAGCAATGTTTTGAACTAATCGGTTGACTGAATAATTCAATGACTCGCTCTTAAAGACTTGTTGCCACCTTTGGCAAAGCTATGTACCGTGCAGAAAGTGGCACTCTGGACCAATCAGATTCGAGAACCGGAACTAATAGTGTGAGCATAACTTGCAAAGTGAAGTGAAGTGTAGCCAAGTATGGTGACCCATACTTGGAATTTGTGCTCTGCATTTAACCCATCCAAGTGAACACACACAGCAGTGGGAAGCCATATTGCTCCGGGGAGCAGTTGGGGGTTTCAGTACCTTGCTCAAGGGTCTCACCTCAGTTGTGGTATTGAAGATGGAAGAGAGCACTGGTTATTCACTCCCCCCACTGATAATTCCTGCTGGACCTGAGACTTGAACCCACAACCTTCAGGTTACAAGTCAGACTCTCTAACCTTTAGGCCACGACTGCCCCAAATGGCTGCAGGTTATGTACATCTATCATACAGTTACCGCATCTCATCACATTCATATGCATGCAACTCTGAGCATTAAAGTATTATGTACATGCAAACTTTCATACACAAATACGATATATAGTACCTGCTACATGCACACGCATAGTCACAACAACTGCAGAGCGATTCTTTCCTCCTTTCTTATTTGCCTTCTTTCTTTCTTATTTATTCAGCTAGCTCACATTTTATTTTCGTCGGTGCTGTCAGAGTGTGCATGGTATCTCTCCTGGCCTTTTCGCTCTGCCGTCAGACTTCATTAAATCTGCAAGTTGTATTTGCATAAGTGGCACCAAGTCTCAACACCTATATCCCAGGGTGACGTGTCATTTCATGGTGTGTGTGAATGAGAGAAAGACGGTGACAGTGTCTGGCAATATTTGCGTGCAGCTTTGTTCACCTGTTTGTATTTTGCCAGATTCCTACTGATTCAAAGTAGCCAAACAATCCCAGATGCTTTAGAAGTGAGCTGCGCCTATTATTATTCCACAACATTCCGTTGAATTTTAAAACTCACAGTCTCGTTGTTGTGCGGGGGGAATTTCTGCTTGCGGTGAGCTTCAGTATGTGTATGTGCGCCTCTGGGTGTGCGTTTCATGATATCATGTATTACGATATCAGCATGCATGTCCATACATGGCCTATGCATCATTTTACTTTCAAATATCTCTGTTTGTGCCTCTCTCTCTGTGCTGCCGTTCTGGTTAGTATTAATTTATTTTTATTTTGGGCTAATTTCTCTAATCTCTTAATGACGTGTGCAAATGTTCTCAAAGCTAAATGGCATGTGCATTGAACATATTTGAGAATTCGATTTGACAAATAAAAATCCCATTTTGTTGTCAGAAAGTGAAGGACAGAGAGAGGTTGTGCACAGAGAGCATATGTTTTGTCTAAAGGCGTAAAGGTCAGAAAACATGATACATATATAATGCTGATTATGTTGTTTTCCTGCGTATCAGTATCGGTGGAGGAAAAATGAATAAATCATGTTATTTGCGGCACAACAAGCTATTCGTTTTCAATAGCTTGCAGCCTCTGAAATCAGAGTACGGAGAAAAATAATTTTTGACATTTTTAATTATTGAATATAATACTGACACATGTACTCAATAGCAGTTACCAGGCTGGATAAAAAAACATTGATAATAAAAGTGATAACCTTTAAACTTTTTTCTTCTTGTTTTGAGAATAACACTTTGATCTTTTACACTTTAACATTTTCTAGAATATACTGGTACATCTATTCTTTTATTTCAGACTGTGGGGTTGAAAAGCTTTAATTTAGAAACAAACAATATACAGAAGATGAGTCCGTTAAAGGTCCAGATTGATTTTACATGTTTAAATGCTGTTTAAAGGATTCCACAAGAAATGATCGGGCCTTCTGATCAGGTAGAGCAGGAATGATTATGGAATTGTCGGAAGAACTGAAGGGCAAGGAAGGAGAGCATGTTACTGAAAAGCTTAAACTCCATTGGGCTGCACTGGTGTAGATGAACTTCTGTAAATAATAAAAATAAATAAATTAAAAAAAAACAACAACTGCATACGTACATTGAGAACCCCCAGCCAACACGTTCCAGAGGTTATGGATCCACACCCAGAAGATCGAGTGTCCAGAAGGCCAGGGGGTCCATTGAGCAGGACACATTAACTTCAGGATGGTCCTAATGTTTATGGTGGATATATTTCCAGAGATCAGTCTGCTCCTCAGATGTTTTGATTGCAAGTAATCTTTGACTAATACTGATCGATCCTGTTAGCTGAAGCTCAATGCTGTCTCTAGTTAGTCTTCACTTTCAGCACTTTTGTCCCCAGTAAGTCTGCTTGGAGCATAGAACTATCGGGTCACCTGAAATAGAGAACAAGGAAGAGTTTAGGTTTGACACTTTCCCATTAGACACATCTGCACCTGTGTTTACCAGCGCATCTGACTCCAGTAACCCCAAAATATTAATCATTATGAACTATATGGCCCCATTCTGTACAGAGGAAGAAATCGTCTGGTTCTCCATCTCTGTTAGTACAGATTTCATTAATGCTTGACATTTATCTGCACAGACTTCTTGTCCTGGCCACTGATGGGCATGGCCTGCTGGAGCTGTGGGTGAAACAGTTGGCACCCAAGCAAACTCATTCATTTAGAATTTGGCACCATGCCTTCCAAGTTGGCACAGAGGGACAACTGAGGATAGCGGCATGGCATGATGCCCGATACTTGATCCACCCTCTCAGTCTTCCTCTTGCTTTCCTTTTCCCGGTGTCTCTTTCAGTTTTGGCAAGGTTTATATTGCAAGAGGTGTGCTGGCATAGAACAAACAGTTGCCATGCTAATCAGTCATTATAAACATCCATAACTGATCAAAGCAACTCTTCATTTCTCCTCTCTTATATTCTTACAAACCTGCACTGTATGTCCTTGGAATATATAAGATCTCCAGCTTCTTTCCCTTGTTTCCTCTTTCTTTTAATGTGTTGTATCGTTTGCATACTGTAAGTTCACTTATTAATCTTGGTTAAAAGTTTTGATCAGCATGCGGTCCAATACTGAATACAAACTTAGAGAAGTGAGATCACTTTAAAACATTTCAGACTGAGTTAAAGAGCCGAAGGTTCAGTGCTGTAGGTCTCATTCTGAGCACAGTTGCATCTGTAATGAGAATTAATGTGTTTGTGTGGGTTTATGTAGCTATACTTTTATAGGACCTGATATAACCTCTGGGGATGCTCTCAAAGGTAAAAATGATTCATAAAGTAAAAAAAAGTTATTTTTTTCACATAAAAAGACAATGTACATGCTGTAATATAACTCTTAAGAAAATATGAGTGCTGCCATGAGGCTATATGGTATTTTGGGTGGTTTTTAGTGTTACTATGCAGGTGTTAGCGTGTTTTGGCTGTTTGTTGGAACATTAGGTGGTTGCTTATGAGCTCAAGCCAATAGAGAGACAGAGATTGAATGTGTGTGCATGTGTGTGATAGAAAGATCTGACAGAGGGCTGTGTGTGTGCAAGGTCCAAAGTAATATAAGAACTAATTTTAACACATACACACACACACACACACACTTTTATTCCATCTGTTCCTTGGGCCTTTTTTCATTTATGAAGATTTCACTACATCTAAATAAACATAACACTCATTCAAAAAAAACTTCATCACACACATGAAGGTTCAGATGAATTCACTGTGATGAAAAATGGATCAGTGTTATGTGCACATTTTATGTTATGAGAGGTATGATGGCACAGAATAGCTTATCAGTCATTGATCAAACCAGACCCTTTCTTCTCCTTCTCTCCTGCTTTCCTCTATTTTTTTATGGAACTCTTTAAATAATTAAAATCACCCCGACACTCATTTTTACAGTAATATATGAAAACTCTCCAGAAACGTCTCCATGCATTGTTCTCTACAGTAAAATAGAGTAGGGGCTAAGTAAGTATAAAGCAATTATATTTGACAAAACTTTTAAATGGAGGAGTTTGAATATTCATAACTGCAGTGTATGTAAAATATACATTCTACCGGTTAATATTGTATTAATAATAATATATGTAGTTGAGTGTGCATAATTTGATTGCAAGTCCTGAATACTTCCTCTCCAGCAGAGTCCAAAATTAACTTTCTGTCACACCTATCAATTGTCGGGTGAATTGACCAAATTTGCCAGTAATACACATAATTAATTTTCTTTCTTACTGGCCTGAATGTGCATCATACAGTATGGTAAAATAATGCAATAAAGTAAAATATAAAATAACCTAATGCATAGTGCACATTCATGGCCAGAGATATATATATATATATATAACCCCCCCGTGCTCCATCCATGTGTGTACTTCTCACGGAAGTTATCCCCGGCGGAGCAGAACTACGACGTGGGAAACCGGGAGTTACTAGCCATCAAGCTCACCCTTGCAATACCTCCGAGAGGCCAAACGTCTGAACCCTAGGCAGGCCCGCTGGGCGCTGTTCTTTACCCGCTTCCTCTTCATGGTCACCTACCGTCCCGGGATGAAGAATGTCCGCGCGGACGCACTTTCCCGCCTACACCAACCGGATCCTACCCCCGAAGAACCCGAGCCCATCCTGCCGCCTGCCGTCTTCATGTCTCCCATTCAGTGGGCTCTCACTGATTAGATCCGTGCCGCCACTCTCACCAAACCCGCTCCGCCGGGAGGCCCAGAAGAGAGGAGCTATGTCCCATCCACCCTGCGTGTCACCCTTCTGGACTCAGTTCACACCTCCCGGGATCGGGGCACCCAGGCAGCCGCCGAACCCTCTCGCTCCTCCAGAGCCACTACTGGTGGCCCCACATGGCCCGAGATGTCGCCCGGTATGTAAGGGGATGCTCGGTCTGTGCCATCACCACCACGCCACGTCATCTGCCCGAGGGGAAACTGGTCCCGCTACCCATCCCTCGCCGTCCCTGGTCCCACCTGGGGGTGGACTTCGCTACGGACTTGCCTCCCTCCAACGGATTCACGACCATCCTAGTGGTCATCGACCGATTCTCTAAATCCTGCAAACTCATTCCCCTGCGGGGACTACCTACCGCCCTGGAAACCGCCGAAGCTCTCTTCTAGCACGTGTTCAGGAACTTCGGTCTCCCCAAGGACATTGTTTCGGACCGAGGACCGCAATTCATCTCCAGGGTCTGGCGAGGGTTCTTCCGCCTCCTGGGAGCATCCGTCAGTTTGTCCTCGGGATACCACCCACAGACCAATGGCCAGACCGAGCGGAAGATCCAAGAGATCGGACGGTATCTCCGGGCCTACTGTCATGACCATCAAGACAGCTGGAGCCAGTACCTACCCTGGGCCGAGTACGCCCAGAATTCCTTACATCCGCCTCCGGCGGCCCAGTAAGAAGCTGAGTCCCCGGTACATAGGTCCTTTCCCCATAGCAAGGCGCATCAACAATGTCACGTACCGGTTACACCTGCCTGCCCATTATCGGATCTCCCCCACCTTTCATGTGTCCTTGCTAAAGCCCTTCACTAATCCTCTTCTCCCTCCCTCCAGAGAACACGAGGTACCCCCCCCTCCGCCCGAGGTCGTCCCCGACAAGGCCATCTACCGAGTCAGGGAGATCCTCGAATCCCGGCGGAGAGGCGGCCGGCTTCAATACCTTATAGACTGGGAGGGGTCATGGGCAGACAGAGAGGACATACTGGACCCATCTCTCCTCAACGACTTCCACCAGGGGGGGGGGGGGGGGGGAGTGTACCTGCCTCACCAGCCGAATCAGCCTCCTACACCCGCTCACAATCACCTGATTACTGATCACAGACACCTGCACCCACTTACCACACCACTCAAATACTCACTCACCTCATTCACTCATCGACTGGTCTCAAGGTTGCAAGCTACCCTGTCCTGGTTCCTTGACTTCCAATCTGCCTGTTCCCCTCGGAATCCTCAGTTTTCGGCCGCAGGACCGGAGTGCCGACCCAGATAAGACTGTGTTTTGCTTCCCTTACTGCCTATGTTGAACTCTTTTCCATTGGAAGCCTCTCTTAAGTTCCTGTGAATAAACCTTCTGTTTAACGTTCTCCTGCCTGTCTGCCTCTTTGTCCCGGTTGTGACACATATTTAGCCACATTCTAAGGTAGCATTGCTTGTATATTTCAATGCAAAAAAAATAAAAATTATCCCAGTGGAAAAAATATACATGACGTACAAAATGAGATAATTATAGTAAATTATGGAAAAATTTAAAAAACATAAAATCAATCTACTAAATATTGACAATTTTAACTAATATTTCTGTGTGATGTGTTTTATGCTGGAGTATTGCACTTTCTGCATTTTGTCATTTAGAAATGAGAGTATGAATAACCCTGACAACTTTGAAGGTTACGGCATCCCACAGGCCAAATGGACAGTCCTTTTGTTTTTAAGTGTGTGTGTGTGTGTTTGTGTGTGTGTGTGTGTGTGTGTGTGCGCGTGTACGTGAGTGTGTGTGTGTGTGTGTGTGTGTGGGAGTGTATACTAACCTTGGTGGTCTTCACCTTGTTTCCTGTGCTGCAGCTCCAGCCAGTAAGGTCGGGCAGGACTTTACATTCCTCACCATCCAAACACGGCTGCATCTGACACCACCACTTCTGAGCTACTATAGATGCTACACACACATCACAGGAAACATGAACAAGTACACTACGGTTAGTACAAACAGAAACTCTCACTTCCTATAAGTATAGGGGTCATATCATGGAATGGGGGAAAACAAATCAGACAAAATGTTGTGTTGTTCCTGGATGGGTGTAGCACCTACACCTCTGCATATACTTTTGAAGAGGCTAGCCATGAGAAATGTATAGGTCCCAAAACATTTCAGTGCAGATTGCCTTTTCACAATGTAGTGCAGGCTTTGCAAAGAGATATGTTAGCCAATCGTAAAAGAGGTCATAGCAAAAGCACCCTGTTAATTTAATTTATAGGGTTGGACAAAGGGTGGAAAATTGGCATGAACAACTAAATTCCTAGTGCTGTCGATTTAACTTGTTAATTTAGTGCACGTACTTTTTTAAAATCATGCTCCCTGACATATGCACTACTAAAGGCAACACGCTTCGCCAAATCATGCTTACCGAGAACATGGCAGTACAGAATAAGTACTTAAAGAGGATATGTACTTATGTCAAAAACAGCTGGATGGAGCACAACTGAATCCAGGGGTGCATTTTTGAAAGCTGAACTGTTTCAAGTTGACATGGCATCCTCTACCGCACGCATTATGATAGACCTATAGAAAAAAATATTTGACTCTTTTTCTTTTCTAAGAATGGCTTAACTTGAAGTGCTGTAAAATTTAAAAAAATATATAAATATTATTTTAAGGTACTTTATGATATGTTGCCATACGGCAACAGCATACAATAGTGGATATAACTTAGAATAAGTGTAAGTTTACTTATAGTTCATATTTGTCCTCAGAAATGTTGTTTGTGTTGATTCTAGTGGTGCTATTATAAGCTTTAACACAATACATACAGTATAATTGACACCTTATACATACTTTCCAACAACTTGTGCTTTTATTTATTCCATTCTTTTTTGCTGAATAATGATTTATAATTTTTTAATTTTATTAAATTTTTCATGAATATTATTTAAATTGCAAATTTATACAGTTAAAACAAATATAATACAGTATATCATGTATCATAAAACATTGACATAAAACCAAAAACATTCATGAAAATTCAGCATTAAGCAATCTTATAAGAGGAAAACTATGAACATGAGCCCCCCCCCCATAATCCTTGAAAGATCACCTTTTTTAAGAATGGTGAAAAAATTAAAAAGCTGTTTTTTTTCATCTGCAGGAAGAACCAGTTCTGCCATTTTCTTCATTACCTTGCCATAGAATATGGCCGTGCTCACTGATGCAATGTTACCTGTATTCATAGTTAATCAAAATAAAATTGCCATTTCAATTTGATTATAACCATATTAAAAATGCCATTAACATATGACTAATCAGCATTATATCACTAGTATTAATGTTGTTATTGTTACAGTTTAACAGATTGCAGCTGACCTTGCTAGCTAGCTAAACTATTGTAATAATGTCATTTCACAATTACACAGTGTTGCCGCTTGGCAACACATACATTTGAACGATTTACCAAAAACTAATTTCATAAAAACTTTTTTTTTGAGAGGTGAATATGTTATCATAATATCATAACAGTGATGTTTTCGATGTTTTTGTGGAAGTGACACGGACTGGTCCTTGTTTGTTACTGACTTTTTAGTTTGCTTTTAGCAACTACCGACAAGAGAGGGCAGTCTGTCAGAAATCTCGCCACAGAAAAAAACTGCATGTCATGTGACTTACCTAAAGCACATCATTGGCTAAACTAAGGTCTTCTCTTTCCAACAAAAAAAAACAAAAAAACAGAGAATGTTCTCTTAAAGAGACAGCGGCAAGGAAATGAACACAAAGAGCATGTTGCCATATGGCCACACCATGCGGTAGAGGGTTAAACGTGCCAATTATGATGGAAGATGCGACACAACAACCAAAAGTGTCCATCTGTTACCCATCAGTAATTAATTGTAATTAATTTAATTAATTCCATTAAAATTTAAGCCCTATAAATTAAGAGTGTTTTAGTATCTTGGTTAAAATTTTAAGTGGACTCCAAGGAAAGAAATAAAATGTCAGAAAAAGGAAAAAAATATGACATGACCTCTTTAAATACAGAGGATCGTGGATCAGCTCAGGAGCAAGAAAATGGCAAACAGATGAGGAGCTATTTGAGATGATACAGAGAGAAAGAATGAAGCATGAGATGGGGTGAAACATGGCTTATTTGACATTTCCTCTCACGCAGAACTCTGTGTGTAGAGACACTTGAGCTATTTTTTCCTGAGCTTACAGTCAGGCAAAATAAGATAACGATCGATTTCTCTGTCAAGTGGTCAGTGTTGACACAATATTAAATGAAACAGCCAGACAGCCAGACAGCTGAGGGAGACAAAGAGACTGAAAGTCAGAGAATGAGAGAAATAGGGAGAGGGTGAAAGAATGAAAAATCCAGGGCACAATTTCTCATTTAACTCTTTAATCTTGTATATATAAAGGTGAATTTTCAAAACAACCCAGTTCATCCAGACACTAAATGCATGGAAATAGTGCAGCGCAATGAGTTTTTAAATTAAGTCATTATCATTATTTTCAGCACAAACACTTTAAGTGAATTAAGCTAGTATTAAAATCTCAGCACTATTTGCCTGAATAGAGTTTAAATGAATTGAAGATCCATTTTACCATCCACACAGGAGGGTGCAGCCCTTGTTGTTCCAGCGACTTGTCCTGGGAAGCAGGAACACTTAACCGTCTGTGATCGCTCTTCAATCTTATTTCTGTTACAGCAACGGTGGGCTGCAATCACCTCACATGTGCCAGCCTTCACGTGCACTGCAACAAAACACACACACACACACATTTCATAAGAACATTTGTCTCTGAATGACATTGCAGTCAGCATCTCATTTACACAGGCACACCTGCAGTCAGTCATTTCACCACAGTCTGTTACCGCATGCACATACTTTCCCGCTGTTATGCTATGTACAGTTTCGTTTTATTTATTTTTGTTTTAGTTGGGTTGTTAATCAATACATTTTAATAAGATTATTTGAATAAATATATTAAATAATTTAGTAAGTCATTTAATAAATGAATAAATATAGTATAATTTGTCATTTTATTTCAATTTAATTACATTAAATTGATGGCATTTTTCATGTTTTCTCAGTGTTTTTAGTATCTTGCACCATGACCAAGATGTTTTTAAGATGTCTCGTACGTTAAAAGTAGTTTAACTTGTATGGTTGTAGTACACTGAAATAATTTGATGCAGAAACAATTTTCACTCAGAAATTGCTAGTAAATTTCACAGTTCAGATGACAGGTAACACATTGAATTAAACGTCACATTTTGAAGTAGAAAGACTGAAATACTCCAATAATCTTTATTTTATATACAACTTACATTACGTAAAATAATTTTTAACAGTATAAGATCTTTTTTTTTATTATGGATTTTGCATTCAGGTCGGGGGCATGATTAATTGCACAACTTTTTTATTGTGTTATTCTTTATATAGCTAATTGAAATAAATTAAAAGGTAAAATTTATAGCCATAATTTCTAGCTATTTTTATAGCAATACTTTAGTCTGTTCAAAGAATCTAGGCCTGTTTTTCTTATGCAGAAGAAAACAAGCTTTGCCCAGTATTTTTTGATAACTTTAATTAAAGCTCTGAGGGTCACAGAGATGAAAAGAAGACATAACCAAAAAATTAATAACAGAACTGCTCTGGGTGCCCGACGGCTACTTGCTAGGCCGTCAAAATTATTGAAAATCTAGCAGAGATCTTCACCTTCTCACTATCTCAATATCACATCAATGAAAAAGTGTTTGAAATTTGTAGACATGCCTTTGAAACGTTAAAACTGAAACGGCAAGACAGAAAAAACACAGAGTTCTATTAGAGAAAAATGCAGATAATAAGTAAAAAAAAACCCGTCTGAATTCCTTTTTTCAAAGATCGCTCTTGATCTTTCTCAATCCACCAACTTTGTCTGAAGCATTCAAAACAGTTTATTGTGGATCAGTACAGCTTAGTGTGTTTCACCCAACAAACACCAGAGGCTTCAGCTGAAATTTAGTCTGAGCTTTTGAACATGCCCCTTAATGGCTGGAGCGGGTTTTAGCATCAGCCGACATGTTCACGGGGGATACTCTTCTAACTGTTAGGTAGTATAAAGTTTCTGATCCCTGTTTGTGGAGGGAGTTTTAGTACAGAGACCGTTATGTGGACTTGCACATAGATCGATATTGCAGCTTTGGGGCACTTTTTTTAATATTGCCTGAAATAAAACCTCTAAATCTGTGCTGGGTCCTCTATTCCAAATCTCACTTGCTTGTTCCAGATTTATTTGTCATGAAAGCAAGTTGTGCCCTTAGTTTTTGACTTTAGTTTTTAAGAAAAAAAAAAGTTTTCTAAAGCCAGCTGTTTGTGCAGTCAGTTTATATGAAGGTTTTGGATATGACCATGACAACATAGTTCTGCTGCTGGACTTCCTCAATAACTAATAATGAACATGTAGAATAGACAAGTGCAGAGACATGGAATTGGCATACAAGTAAAGGCCTGTTTGAAACAATAATGACATTTTAAACAAAATATTAGATCTCTATGAACTCTCTTCACATTGAATGTGAAATATTAGATATAATATTTATTATATAAAATAATATTAGAAATATAATATTTTATTCAGTTATTAGGTTTGTTTGTTGGAATGCTGAGCAATTAATTCAGTAAGAGAATTACTGACGGCTAATAAATAATTAAATAAATAAATAAATTATTATTTTCGATTTCCAGTATATTTTTTAAACATCCATAAAAACAAGATTTAGCAAAATGGTTTCAAAGACTATATCTTAAAGTTATATTTTTTTACCCTATTGAAATGATTTTGCCTTCTTTACCTTAAATAAAGGTAAATAAATCTCAAATAACATTTTTGTATTTACTTTTAAAACAAGAAAAAAAAATACAGTTAGCTTATTTCAAGATATATTGTATAAAATGTAGGATTTTTTTCCATAAAAGTGAGACAAAAATACTGATTAAATAAATAGATTTTTGCATTATACAAAAAAAATGGTGCAAATAGTTACAGCACAGATTTTTTCTGTACTTTTGTGTAATTTAATTGCTTCAGATCTTGTGTGAACAAACCTTGACCGGCAACAGAACATGAGGAACAGGCTAAGCAATGGAACTACTGTGTTGTAAAGGACTAGATGAACCAACCGACATGATCAAATGCTTCAGCAGTGTTAGAATGGAATGACCTTTAGCTAGTTGGAAGAGGAAATTCTTGTGAGTGCTGGAATGAAATATCCTTCAGAACAGAGCATGCTTTATGTTGCTTTTGGAATGGCTCTGTCCTTCAGTGGATGGGCAGCGCAGGGTGAAACAGCCAATCAATTCAATCTCTGCACACATTACCTCACATCAAATTAATCCATCCTGACTGGGTCAAAATGGGGGCTGACACTGCTGGTCAGCAGCCTGTGCTCTGTGTGTGTGTGTGTGTGTGTGTGTGTGTGTGTGTGTGTGAAATGTGAAATGTGAAATGTGAAATGTGAAAATGTCAACCGTCCCGAGAGATCAACCTCTCAGCTGAGAAATGATTCTTTCAACCATATTCTTTCTCATCATGCATCTCACTAACTGCAGTGACAGAGTATTTCATTTCTGTGTTCCCAGCATGATGGGATTCCACAATATGGCCCCTGAAGATTTGAACGGAGGCATTGTTCTCTCACACACACACACACACACTGCCATACAGCGCCCGGGAGGAGTTCGGGGGTCTGGGAGTGTGTGTTTGTCCTAGGGGAGTTATGTTTCTTTATTCTTTCTTTGTCTACATTTCTCGCTTTGTCACCTCCCACTTTTTCCTTCTCTCATCCCAGGTCTTCATTTCTATCTTTCAATTTTGTATTTCACAGTTTCCTATTTGGCTTTTTTCTGTCTGTCTGTCTGTCCATTTATTTATAGACAGCTATTTAATATTTCATTATATGTTCCATAAATATGGAACATTTAAAATGTTTATGTAATAATATTAAATATATTACTTTTTATTATTTTTATTATTATTATTATTATTTTTTTTTTCCTCTTAGTTTTGAATCAGTTTTACAGTGAGACTGAGATGTTCTCTCAGTTTCTGTGTGGTTTCCCCTCTGCTTGTTTTAATAAAAACTTATCAAACTCCACTGATTGAAAAGTCAAGATGTAAATATTGTGAGTGTTGGATCCTCTCAGTAGGGTGAATTATATTACTCGGTCATTACAGACGGAAAACCTTCAATTTGTGAGGGAAACATTGCGTAGCTCAGAGGGAGTGCCGCCCAAATCGGCTGTAAATGCCAAATGCAAATACTTGTTATCAGAATGAGAGGGCCATGGCTTTCCTGTATCGTGGGACCACAAGACGACAGGGAGACAAGCTTGATGCATCAGAAAACATCAGGATGGAAGGAAAAAAGATTTGTATTTTGCACCTTACCAGCAGCCACAAGAGATGCTGTTAATTGCTCAGTATGTTAATGATATCTTCATGGTGTTTGCCGGATTTACTAAGACAGCTCACTTAGTCTCCAGAAACTCTCTGTCTTGGGCTCTCATGCATCACTGCTCTGGTTTTGAGATCTCTAGGTTTATATCCTTCCCAAAGCTATCATCACAGTGAACCCTTCTAATAACACGGATTTGCATTACTTGCAATTTCTTGATGTACAGACTTATCAGGGTTGGACAAAATTCTGAATACTGACCAACTATTAATCTATCGATTATATGTTTATATTTGAAAAAAAGTTTCATCAGCTGAACAATCAGTTTATTGTTAAACAACAACACAGTCCATTGAACGCACTATACTTCTATCCCTCACAGCCTCGTTTTCATTCCTGTCAAGAATTTAATATGACGCTACCCTGACTGAGGTCTATTAAAGTTAATTTCAAATTTGGGAATTACAATTTAAAAGGCTTTCTTATTTAAATTCTGAATAACTTATCACAACACATTACTGTAATTGCAGTTGGTCATAATGATGATGATGATGATGGGAAGTTTTTGATATGCCAGCACAAAACACACAGATTTCAAGAGCCAGTTTAACTGTATAATTATACAATCCCACACTGATATATCAAACAGTTTCTTGTTTAAAGATCTCAAATGTCTGTAGGGAAACTGACAGTCATTCGGTCTCTGAAGGCACATCCCCTGTGGTGTAGCTTTAAAATCAGCTTTTTAGAAAAAGAGCCGTCAAATGCATAAACATATTCATGTACACATTCACAAAGATGAGCTAAATAGTTTTACAAACATGGGCACAGATGCTTTTAGGAGGTTCACACAAAGCCAGCAGAGACAGCATGAAATATACACCAATAATTGACTTTAAAAAAAAAGACACACTGTTTTGAAGTTTTATATTCATAATGAAATGTGTTTGGTTCAGTACACGAATCCAGGTGGAACACACCTGAATCAAGGTCTTTATATTTGAAAATCATGTGTGATATTGCACGGCTGGATCTAAACTCTGGAGGAAGGAAGAACTTCATGAGATTGACTATCTATAACTCTCTATATCAAATTATATTTCATATCCTACAGAAGAGAGACAAAGGGAGAAAGGAAGTGGGAATAAAAAAATTATAAGAGATATTCTACTACAGAGAAGTGTAGCGAGATGAGCACAAAGCTATTGTTGAAGCTACTGTGTTATACTAGCAGGTCTTAAGCTTTCATTTCGTTATCGATCTTTTGGATGGCTTTAATATCTCACTGAATTCACTATGCTTGTGTGTGTGTGTGTGTAGTCGTAGTTATGCACTCAATTGTTTGTTCACTGCACTGCAATACACTGTAAGCAGATTCCAGGCAGGTATTATAAAACAATGCCGTGAACGCAGACACAAGTTCTCATACCATTAACCTGTTTGACTGTTCATAAGACCAGATGTATAAAGAGATGCATTGCTAAAGGTAATGGGTTTTTCTCGCTCCATCTGTAGGTTTGAAAGCACATTCATACTGAAAATATTTCTCAGCAATAGAGACAAACATATTAGAAAACTACTGCACTGTGACAGTGAGAAATAATGTCTTAACAAGCTCTGGAAATGTGAGGGTGCAAGGCCATGTCTTGTGTTTTGGTCATGTTTTTAAGTTGTATCCCCTTCTTATAGTTTTCATTTTACATCTAATCAATACTCTCTGATTTTGCCATGGTTTAGGGTTTGGGATTCTTGTGCATATGGGTGTCTCTCTTATGTGAGTTGATTTTTAATAAACCTCGCAGATTTCAAATATTGTATTTTTTGTTATATGAAGGCCACATTAAACTAAAAAAATCTAAACAATAAATAAATAATAAAAACTGAAAAATTATAAACTATATTTCAATAATTGTTATTCATTTATCAAGTTAATGTACAACACTTGCTTGCCAAGGAGACAACAGTGTCCCTGAAGAGCATGCTTGCATATTTTGCATGCTTGAGGCAAAATATGTGCTGTGAGAACAAAACAATGAAAAATAAGGCTAAATATCACGTGAACAGAATATTTTTTATTATGCATCATATCCCAAAACTGTAATTTTGTAAAATTATGAAAAAAATAAATACATACATACATAAATACTTTATATATAATTTTGTATTTTAGGATACACAAAATGCTAGTAGCCTAGCTTAAATAAATACATAAATAAAATGTTATTCCAAAAGTGTTTCAAATGTAATTTTCACACAGAATATTAATAAACAGTATACATAATTTGAAATGTGGTGGCAAGACGATTTGTTGAAAAAAAGTTAAAAATTACTTGTTATTAGCTGAATTAAATATTTTTTTCTATTTTTTTTACTTAAGTATATTTTCTCAAATGGATGGATGGATGAGACAGATCTAGTTGAAGAAACACCATGGTACGCTTGAACACACTCCTGCAACAGCCTCACGAGGAATAATTCATCCACCAAAAAGTGTTTGTTCATCGCAACAATGTTGCTCCAGACACATTTTAACCTCATTTCAGATTATTCCGTAAAGCAGAATCTCTTTGCACACTGTGACTGCCTGTGTGTATTTGTAGTAGTTTGTTTTAAATTATTACTACTGTAAATGTTTCCACCTGTTCCATTTCATACATGACTATTGTGGACAGGCAAGCGTACTTACTGCTAATATCTGTGCTGTATTATGTATGTTGACAGTATGTAACAGCGATCGCACAAACTTATGTCATTCATAGTGTAACTAAAAATATCTCCCCATATTGCACAGACATATTCTGTGCCATTCAAACATGCAATCCTATACATTATTTAAACATGTTATACAAACCGATGATTGCAGAGGCTGGACGGAGTATGTGATGTAACGTGTGGTGTTTCGTGGTTTTGTGTGTATTATTGTAGTGTGTTGAGGGAGTGTATGATATCAGGAAATAGTGGTCTAGTTTACACACAAGTAATTCAAATATGAAATATTTTTGCCATATAATATAATATAATATAATAATCTATTGTATCTGTTGTATCTGTTGTTTAATATGTGCTTTGATTGGTCGAGCTGGACTGAAAGGTGAGTCTGGTGACATCTGATCTCCTCTAGAGATCCAGCCCTGTAAACATCCCTAGGGACATATTTCACTTTTACAAGCGGATTTTTCTTCCCGCTTTGTGAGGGGGAGTTTCATGACATGGCTATTAAAGCCTGTGTCATTTTATGGCCATTTCAATCAGGCTCTATTTCAGAGGACAATTTGAGCTCTACTGCACACCAGAGTTCACCAGATCCCCACACACATCACAATTCATATAGATTACAGATAATTTACCATCACACACATACAAATACAGTATATAAGCAAGAGAGAATCTAGCTATCAGTCGATACACAATGTCAGAAATCTGTAAATCTTAAGAGATATTGTACAAAGACTAAACAAATGAAAAATGACTACAATCATTTTCAGGTCGATGCTGATGATGCTCTTTTAATGATGTATTGATGTAATGATAATTTTGGTAGGGTTTGTTCCATCATGTGTGTGTGTGTGTGTCTGCAGCTAGCTTCACATAGCTGTGTGTGTGCTTTACTGCAGCACGAGTGGAGGCGTGTGTTAAAAACAGAGGCTAGATGGATTGGGAATATGGGCATCCCATTAAAAACCCTTTTAACCTGCTCTCTAGTGTCATCCACTACCTATACAATACCCTGCTCTGCTGTAGCAGCTACAGCTCTCTCCACATGGACCACCAGAGTGGTTTGATCTCTTTCTTTTATTATCATTTTTTAGACAGTGAGACACAAGACTGCAATTTTTGCAATCCTTTTATAAAATCTGTGATGTTTATAAATACAAATAATACTGTAGAAACAACAAAAATACAATACGAAAACAATTCCTTCAAGTTTTTCATTAATGTAAAGAAAACAAAACAATTATTACAATTATATAAACATTAGATAAAAACTTCAAATAAAAAAAAAAAGTTTCTACTAACTGATCTTTTTTAACTCCATTAGCTACAGTTATAATGGAATCTGAACCATAATCTTTGGAAGATTTCCATTTCCATAAACAATACATTAAATACACCAACGTGTACTGCCTTCATGCAGTTCGTGGAAGTGTATGTTGCAAGTGTGTATCTTGGCCATCACAGCAGCCACTTCTGAATGGCCCATTATCCAAGAAAGGGTGAGTGACTTTAAAATGCTTATAATCAGTGGGAGGGGTTGATCTCAGGCTATCATCCAATCACAGTCTGCACTTGTGCAGTGATTATATTCATTAGCGAGATGATTACGAAGCTTTGATGAGAGAAAACGTCCTGCTGCTCTGGAGTAATGCAGACACCTGGAGCAGTTGCACTACTGAGAGGGATAATGGAATTACACCTGCACCAGTGCACTCTCTCTTTCTCTCTCCCTCTCTATTGCTTTCTCTTCAGTCATTAAGAGATTGTTTCTCTATTAAAGTACAAGCCCATTGCTCTTTTGTTGTAGTGTCTATTGGAGCATGTATAAACCCGATTAAAGCAGGATGGTTCTTATGAATCCTAGTGTCCCTAATGAGTTCCACAGATATAATAGCACCCTATTGAAATGATTTTGCCTTCTTTACCTTAAATAAAGGTAAATAAATCTCAAATAACATTTTTGTATTTACTTTTAAAACAAGAAAAAAAAATACAGTTAGCTTATTTCAAGATATATTGTATAAAATGTAGGATTTTTTTCCATAAAAGTGAGACAAAAATACTGATTAAATAAATAGATTTTTGCATTATACAAAAAAAATGGTGCAAATAGTTACAGCACAGATTTTTTCTGTACTTTTGTGTAATTTAATTGCTTCAGATCTTGTGTGAACAAACCTTGACCGGCAACAGAACATGAGGAACAGGCTAAGCAATGGAACTACTGTGTTGTAAAGGACTAGATGAACCAACCGACATGATCAAATGCTTCAGCAGTGTTAGAATGGAATGACCTTTAGCTAGTTGGAAGAGGAAATTCTTGTGAGTGCTGGAATGAAATATCCTTCAGAACAGAGCATGCTTTATGTTGCTTTTGGAATGGCTCTGTCCTTCAGTGGATGGGCAGCGCAGGGTGAAACAGCCAATCAATTCAATCTCTGCACACATTACCTCACATCAAATTAATCCATCCTGACTGGGTCAAAATGGGGGCTGACACTGCTGGTCAGCAGCCTGTGCTCTGTGTGTGTGTGTGTGTGTGTGTGTGTGTGTGTGTGTGTGAAATGTGAAATGTGAAATGTGAAATGTGAAAATGTCAACCGTCCCGAGAGATCAACCTCTCAGCTGAGAAATGATTCTTTCAACCATATTCTTTCTCATCATGCATCTCACTAACTGCAGTGACAGAGTATTTCATTTCTGTGTTCCCAGCATGATGGGATTCCACAATATGGCCCCTGAAGATTTGACCAGAGGCGTGTTCATACACACACACACACACACACACACACACACACAGAGCGCCTGAGAGTAGTTCGAATCAGGGGGTCTGGGAGTGTGTGTTTGTCCTAGGGGAGTTATGTTTCTTTATTCTTTCTTTGTCTACATTTCTCGCTTTGTCACCTCCCACTTTTTCCTTCTCTCATCCCAGGTCTTCATTTCTATCTTTCAATTTTGTATTTCACAGTTTCCTATTTGGCTTTTTTCTGTCTGTCTGTCTGTCCATTTATTTATAGACAGCTATTTAATATTTCATTATATGTTCCATAAATATGGAACATTTAAAATGTTTATGTAATAATATTAAATATATTACTTTTTATTATTTTTATTATTATTATTATTATTATTATTTTTTTCCTCTTAGTTTTGAATCAGTTTTACAGTGAGACTGAGATGTTCTCTCAGTTTCTGTGTGGTTTCCCCTCTGCTTGTTTTAATAAAAACTTATCAAACTCCACTGATTGAAAAGTCAAGATGTAAATATTGTGAGTGTTGGATCCTCTCAGTAGGGTGAATTATATTACTCGGTCATTACAGACGGAAAACCTTCAATTTGTGAGGGAAACATTGCGTAGCTCAGAGGGAGTGCCGCCCAAATCGGCTGTAAATGCCAAATGCAAATACTTGTTATCAGAATGAGAGGGCCATGGCTTTCCTGTATCGTGGGACCACAAGACGACAGGGAGACAAGCTTGATGCATCAGAAAACATCAGGATGGAAGGAAAAAAGATTTGTATTTTGCACCTTACCAGCAGCCACAAGAGATGCTGTTAATTGCTCAGTATGTTAATGATATCTTCATGGTGTTTGCCGGATTTACTAAGACAGCTCACTTAGTCTCCAGAAACTCTCTGTCTTGGGCTCTCATGCATCACTGCTCTGGTTTTGAGATCTCTAGGTTTATATCCTTCCCAAAGCTATCATCACAGTGAACCCTTCTAATAACACGGATTTGCATTACTTGCAATTTCTTGATGTACAGACTTATCAGGGTTGGACAAAATTCTGAATACTGACCAACTATTAATCTATCGATTATATGTTTATATTTGAAAAAAAGTTTCATCAGCTGAACAATCAGTTTATTGTTAAACAACAACACAGTCCATTGAACGCACTATACTTCTATCCCTCACAGCCTCGTTTTCATTCCTGTCAAGAATTTAATATGACGCTACCCTGACTGAGGTCTATTAAAGTTAATTTCAAATTTGGGAATTACAATTTAAAAGGCTTTCTTATTTAAATTCTGAATAACTTATCACAACACATTACTGTAATTGCAGTTGGTCATAATGATGATGATGATGATGGGAAGTTTTTGATATGCCAGCACAAAACACACAGATTTCAAGAGCCAGTTTAACTGTATAATTATACAATCCCACACTGATATATCAAACAGTTTCTTGTTTAAAGATCTCAAATGTCTGTAGGGAAACTGACAGTCATTCGGTCTCTGAAGGCACATCCCCTGTGGTGTAGCTTTAAAATCAGCTTTTTAGAAAAAGAGCCGTCAAATGCATAAACATATTCATGTACACATTCACAAAGATGAGCTAAATAGTTTTACAAACATGGGCACAGATGCTTTTAGGAGGTTCACACAAAGCCAGCAGAGACAGCATGAAATATACACCAATAATTGACTTTAAAAAAAAAGACACACTGTTTTGAAGTTTTATATTCATAATGAAATGTGTTTGGTTCAGTACACGAATCCAGGTGGAACACACCTGAATCAAGGTCTTTATATTTGAAAATCATGTGTGATATTGCACGGCTGGATCTAAACTCTGGAGGAAGGAAGAACTTCATGAGATTGACTATCTATAACTCTCTATATCAAATTATATTTCATATCCTACAGAAGAGAGACAAAGGGAGAAAGGAAGTGGGAATAAAAAAATTATAAGAGATATTCTACTACAGAGAAGTGTAGCGAGATGAGCACAAAGCTATTGTTGAAGCTACTGTGTTATACTAGCAGGTCTTAAGCTTTCATTTCGTTATCGATCTTTTGGATGGCTTTAATATCTCACTGAATTCACTATGCTTGTGTGTGTGTGTGTGTAGTCGTAGTTATGCACTCAATTGTTTGTTCACTGCACTGCAATACACTGTAAGCAGATTCCAGGCAGGTATTATAAAACAATGCCGTGAACGCAGACACAAGTTCTCATACCATTAACCTGTTTGACTGTTCATAAGACCAGATGTATAAAGAGATGCATTGCTAAAGGTAATGGGTTTTTCTCGCTCCATCTGTAGGTTTGAAAGCACATTCATACTGAAAATATTTCTCAGCAATAGAGACAAACATATTAGAAAACTACTGCACTGTGACAGTGAGAAATAATGTCTTAACAAGCTCTGGAAATGTGAGGGTGCAAGGCCATGTCTTGTGTTTTGGTCATGTTTTTAAGTTGTATCCCCTTCTTATAGTTTTCATTTTACATCTAATCAATACTCTCTGATTTTGCCATGGTTTAGGGTTTGGGATTCTTGTGCATATGGGTGTCTCTCTTATGTGAGTTGATTTTTAATAAACCTCGCAGATTTCAAATATTGTATTTTTTGTTATATGAAGGCCACATTAAACTAAAAAAATCTAAACAATAAATAAATAATAAAAACTGAAAAATTATAAACTATATTTCAATAATTGTTATTCATTTATCAAGTTAATGTACAACACTTGCTTGCCAAGGAGACAACAGTGTCCCTGAAGAGCATGCTTGCATATTTTGCATGCTTGAGGCAAAATATGTGCTGTGAGAACAAAACAATGAAAAATAAGGCTAAATATCACGTGAACAGAATATTTTTTATTATGCATCATATCCCAAAACTGTAATTTTGTAAAATTATGAAAAAAATAAATACATACATACATAAATACTTTATATATAATTTTGTATTTTAGGATACACAAAATGCTAGTAGCCTAGCTTAAATAAATACATAAATAAAATGTTATTCCAAAAGTGTTTCAAATGTAATTTTCACACAGAATATTAATAAACAGTATACATAATTTGAAATGTGGTGGCAAGACGATTTGTTGAAAAAAAGTTAAAAATTACTTGTTATTAGCTGAATTAAATATTTTTTTCTATTTTTTTTACTTAAGTATATTTTCTCAAATGGATGGATGGATGAGACAGATCTAGTTGAAGAAACACCATGGTACGCTTGAACACACTCCTGCAACAGCCTCACGAGGAATAATTCATCCACCAAAAAGTGTTTGTTCATCGCAACAATGTTGCTCCAGACACATTTTAACCTCATTTCAGATTATTCCGTAAAGCAGAATCTCTTTGCACACTGTGACTGCCTGTGTGTATTTGTAGTAGTTTGTTTTAAATTATTACTACTGTAAATGTTTCCACCTGTTCCATTTCATACATGACTATTGTGGACAGGCAAGCGTACTTACTGCTAATATCTGTGCTGTATTATGTATGTTGACAGTATGTAACAGCGATCGCACAAACTTATGTCATTCATAGTGTAACTAAAAATATCTCCCCATATTGCACAGACATATTCTGTGCCATTCAAACATGCAATCCTATACATTATTTAAACATGTTATACAAACCGATGATTGCAGAGGCTGGACGGAGTATGTGATGTAACGTGTGGTGTTTCGTGGTTTTGTGTGTATTATTGTAGTGTGTTGAGGGAGTGTATGATATCAGGAAATAGTGGTCTAGTTTACACACAAGTAATTCAAATATGAAATATTTTTGCCATATAATATAATATAATATAATAATCTATTGTATCTGTTGTATCTGTTGTTTAATATGTGCTTTGATTGGTCGAGCTGGACTGAAAGGTGAGTCTGGTGACATCTGATCTCCTCTAGAGATCCAGCCCTGTAAACATCCCTAGGGACATATTTCACTTTTACAAGCGGATTTTTCTTCCCGCTTTGTGAGGGGGAGTTTCATGACATGGCTATTAAAGCCTGTGTCATTTTATGGCCATTTCAATCAGGCTCTATTTCAGAGGACAATTTGAGCTCTACTGCACACCAGAGTTCACCAGATCCCCACACACATCACAATTCATATAGATTACAGATAATTTACCATCACACACATACAAATACAGTATATAAGCAAGAGAGAATCTAGCTATCAGTCGATACACAATGTCAGAAATCTGTAAATCTTAAGAGATATTGTACAAAGACTAAACAAATGAAAAATGACTACAATCATTTTCAGGTCGATGCTGATGATGCTCTTTTAATGATGTATTGATGTAATGATAATTTTGGTAGGGTTTGTTCCATCATGTGTGTGTGTGTGTGTCTGCAGCTAGCTTCACATAGCTGTGTGTGTGCTTTACTGCAGCACGAGTGGAGGCGTGTGTTAAAAACAGAGGCTAGATGGATTGGGAATATGGGCATCCCATTAAAAACCCTTTTAACCTGCTCTCTAGTGTCATCCACTACCTATACAATACCCTGCTCTGCTGTAGCAGCTACAGCTCTCTCCACATGGACCACCAGAGTGGTTTGATCTCTTTCTTTTATTATCATTTTTTAGACAGTGAGACACAAGACTGCAATTTTTGCAATCCTTTTATAAAATCTGTGATGTTTATAAATACAAATAATACTGTAGAAACAACAAAAATACAATACGAAAACAATTCCTTCAAGTTTTTCATTAATGTAAAGAAAACAAAACAATTATTACAATTATATAAACATTAGATAAAAACTTCAAATAAAAAAAAAAAGTTTCTACTAACTGATCTTTTTTAACTCCATTAGCTACAGTTATAATGGAATCTGAACCATAATCTTTGGAAGATTTCCATTTCCATAAACAATACATTAAATACACCAACGTGTACTGCCTTCATGCAGTTCGTGGAAGTGTATGTTGCAAGTGTGTATCTTGGCCATCACAGCAGCCACTTCTGAATGGCCCATTATCCAAGAAAGGGTGAGTGACTTTAAAATGCTTATAATCAGTGGGAGGGGTTGATCTCAGGCTATCATCCAATCACAGTCTGCACTTGTGCAGTGATTATATTCATTAGCGAGATGATTACGAAGCTTTGATGAGAGAAAACGTCCTGCTGCTCTGGAGTAATGCAGACACCTGGAGCAGTTGCACTACTGAGAGGGATAATGGAATTACACCTGCACCAGTGCACTCTCTCTTTCTCTCTCCCTCTCTATTGCTTTCTCTTCAGTCATTAAGAGATTGTTTCTCTATTAAAGCACAAGCCCATTTCTCTTTTGTTGTAGTGTCTATTGGAGCGTGTATAAACCTGATTAAAGCAGGATGGTTCTTATGAATCCTAGTGTCCCTAATGAGTTCCACAGATATAATAGCACTGTTCCAACACTTAGTGAGCTGCCTATCTAGACGGCATTTTAAGGATGCTGACACAAAGGATTTTTCCAAAGATATCTAATTCCTTTTAAGATAACAGGTTTTGGCCAAATAGTAAGGAAACACTCTATGTATCTTTCAGATTAATGACAATCACAGAATGGATTGCCATGCACCTATTGGAAGAATTTTTTTTTTTTAAAGATGGTGGAGGAAGTTGAGAGAAGTGTTGATTTTGAAATATATATTGCCCGTCTTGAAAATGAAAACTATTAAACATTGTTTTTATTAACTGAAATAAAGCTAGAATAAAATACATATATTAGACAGACAACACATGGAAATTAGGAATGTTGCAACTAAAATAAATATAAGTTCAATAAAATAATCAATAATAAATTATGAAATAAAATAAGTTCAAGCTGAAGTACCAAAATAGGTTTGAAATAAGTAGAAGTATTAAATTTAACAAAAATACAAAAAAACGAAATGAAAAATATACAAATAAAAATGACAAAATTACTTTTTTTTTTTTTTTTTTTACATAATTACTAAAACTTGAAACATTGAAAATATAGAATAAAAGCTAATTCTAAAAAGTATAAAAGCTAAAGTAGCTAAATAGTAGTAAATAGCTAAAGCTAAATATGAATAACTACTATAGTAGTATATAAATAATACTAAAATATCACTGTATACGGCATTTACTATCAGAAATTACAGATGAAAAATGGCATTTACTATCAGAAATTACAGATGAAAAAAAAGAACTACATTGCCCAAATGGAATCTGTACTACAATCTCTGAATGATTTCCATTTAAGAAAACAATGAAACATAAAACATTTTTTATACAATTTAATACCATGGAAATACTGAAAAATTGTGAGTCAAGTGTGAGTCAATTTTCTTGTGCATTTCCTGCAAGGAGCACAATAGACAGCTAAACACCATATAATACATCATATTTAGACAGGTACGATGACGGCAGTGTGTGGTAACAGAAAACAAATCCATGAAACTAAAGTAAGGATCTGTCAGGCAATATCAGGCAATTGAACCGGTCCGAACAGTTGCTGTTTACTGTTTTCCCTAAGAAGATTTCTGTCATGTGTGATTATGCGCCACTTTTGAAAATCTGTATGGCTGAGAGCAATAATGACCTCTCTTGCACAGAAAGTAACCGTTCTGTTCCCAGAATGTGTCACAAATATACAGACAGATGGCGAGAATGTGCAGTTAATGACATCACTTCCCGTGCAGATATATCGAAGCATCATTAAATATCAAAATATTGCCCAGAAAGAGTATGTAATATTAAAGTCGAATTACGGCAAAAAAGCGGATTAGTATTAGCATTTTTGTTTTATTTAAATTTCTAATATTAAAGGACTAGCAAATACAAACCCAGCTTAAGCATATTTCTCTCACACATTTCAGATCACTGCCATGTTGGGGATATTTTATTCTCACTTCTGATCTGGTTTGTGTCTTGTCTCCTTCCAGGTGTGCGGCTGGCAGTGAGAGGTCTGCGTGAGGCATTGCAGGTGGAGAGATCTGCTCTACTGCCCTCTAATCTGCTAATCTGTTAAAACATGCTGTCCTCCAGCATACGCTCTCTTTGGGAGAGTGGGGTGTTAGATTATTTAAGCCCCCCGTAGCAGGAGACAGAAGATCATCCCTTCCTGATAACTGTGAAATGGAGAGGTTCATGTAAAATGACGGCTGAGCGCAAGATCTGCCCAGCAAGCACTTTGCCCTAGCTTGTTTTTCCCCCTCTTATCTCTCACTCTCCATCTCTATCAGGGCATCAGCAGCATTGACATTAATTACAGACCATCGAATAGAGGTAAAAAGTGGCATCCATCAAACACAGACACATTGGGGAGTGAGACTTACTGAGAGTGCGAGACACGCTAAGGATAACACACTTAAATCCCACATTGAGATTTTCATTGACTGAGAAAAGAGACACAGAGGAGGTTTCATAGAGTATATTGGGACCAAAATTTTTTGCTTCACTACAACACCAGCCTCAGTATAGATACTACATTTTAAAATCATGAAATGAAAATTTATTTATTTTCCATCTATTTTCTAAATGTGTGTTATTGATCTTATTGTGAACAATTCATCTATACTAAAATTTTTAACCTCATAATTCTTAATCAGAATATCAACTGGATCTTCCAGTGAAACGACAGACTTCTCTCTGGTGACGTATACTGGACTTCTCCAATCATTTAGTCCGCTTAAGCTCCGCCCCTTTCTTATAATTGACTGCAAGCATGCATTCAGATCTGGCTTCATCCAATCAACAACCAATGGATAGAAACAAGTCCCTGCCCTACAGTTTTTTTTCCATTTCTTCTTTTCTTTTCTTTCTGATAATCCATTTCATTCAGATGTACATCACAATTCAGAACAAATGATCTGTCGCTACATTCCTTTCACTGCGATAAATAACTTGCCTCAGGTACTGCATGATGGTGATAGATTTAATAATTCAATATCAATAATTCAACAAAAAACAATGTAGAAATGTTGGCTTCAGTACTTTATTTTAGTTACTTGTGCCAGAAAATGTGTGCGCTTACTGTGGGAAAAGTAAGTACACCCCTTGAAAAATACCCCCCCCCCCCAAAAATTTAGAAAAAACCCCCCCCCCCCCAACATATTAGGACAGATAATGAATTGGCATTTCACAAATGTTAATTGATAAAAGGCAATAATCATGTAAATGACTTCTAAAAAATGACACATAAAAAAAATTGCGAAAGATAAGTGCAGATGTTTAGTTGAATAAAAGACAACAAACATATCAAAGTCACTGCCCACATTTGTTGAAAAAGAAAAAAAATTCCAAGGTGTGTACTTGCTTTTTCACAATACTGAATATAAAGACAATGGACAGTGGTATTGCTCTCACACATTCTATTTTTCTCAAACTGCAATAAAAAAATCAAATCTGCAATAATGCAATCCCATCTTGATTGGACTGATAATTCCAAAAAATGAAAGGGAGAATTTTTTTTTTTAATGAATCAATAAATTTTTATGCTTCATGTCACATTGCCTGAACCAAAATGCTGATACATACCAATTCTGCAGTATTGTTTTATTATACTCTATGCCATGCAACCTTACACATATTGGTGATTTTTTTTCAGACTATCTTTTGTTGTTTAAGTCTTGTATAAAGAATGCAGATAGGCTACGGCTGTCTGAAATATTCTGAAATGTCAGAGAGAGGCCTATGGGAATAAACGAGAAGAGAAACATGGGCAGACATGAGTATCACACGACCTGTTTGCTGTGGTCAGGCCTCATCCAATAATCCAGAGGTCAGTGTTCCTTCCTTCTCAGGCTGACCCACATTTAAACACCTCAGTCAAACTCCCAGTGCAAACAGCCAACTCTCAAACAAATATTCTCCTATACACTTCAGACCCTTGAGAGAGACAAAAGGAGGGGTAAAGAGTGAAAAAAGTGACATTTTGACGGCTATCCAATCCCGCTGAAGCCGAAGATGTTATTCTTTGGCACCAATTTGAGAGGAACAGAACCTTTCCCCTTTCCTGTCATCCTGCTCTTCTGTGTTTCTTCCTTCCCTCTGCATTCATCTCTTCCTCATTTCCGTCTTGTCATCCAGAGTCTCATCAAATGTCAGAGGACAGCATGCTGTCCCAGAGTGCTGGCTCCATCGGCATCTTGAAATACATATTTGTGGTGTGACTGATCTCCCTCAGGTCCTGTGGAAAGGGTCAGCACATTTATACAGAACCCTGATGAGACCACCTAGTGAGAATGTGACGGGAAATGTCCCAGGAGACGTCACTCTCGCTCTCTCTTTCTCGTATTTTAAACTGTCCTTGTCAGTTAAACAAAGCTTTTCAGAAAGCCTTTCACAAACTTGTATGTACAATGTAGGAACAGGCTGCTTTTATTTGACGTGAAGGGATAGTTCACCCAAAGTGACAATTCTGTCAAAGAATGATACACAAAAGAAGATATTTTGGAGAATGTTTGAGCTGTTTTTGTTCAAATAATAAAAATGTCAATGGGGTTCAAAAGTTTCAAACTCTGAAAAGGACATATAGGGGATTCATCCATACAACGTCTGATGCAATATGGTCACTATGGTCAATATGGTATGAATGTGATTGTATATATTTGATTGTATATATAATATTGAAGACTTTATTCACTTTCAAATCAAATCAAAACCCTGATCAAAACATGTATACACAGACTACATTAACTATGGTATTATGAACATCAAAAGTCAAACCTCATTGGTTCTTACACATCAAAGTGATGCAGAATACTTTGGATATAATAGACGAGACGAGGAGGAGGAGGAGGAGGAGGAGGGAGAGGAGGAGGAGGGAGAGGAAGAGGACGTGGTGAAGGAGGAGGAAGAGGAAGAGGACGTGGTGAAGGAGGAGGAAGAGGACGTGGTGAAGGAAGAGGGAGAGGAGGAGGACGTGGTGAAGGAGGAGGGAGAGGAAGAGGACGTGGTGAAGGAGGATGAGGAGGACATGGTGGAGGAGGAGGGAGAGGAAGATGACGTGGTGAAGGAGGAGGGAGAGGAAGATGCTGTGGTGAAGGAGGAGGAGGGGAAGAGGACGGGGGGA